ACTCTCTCTGCTTCCCAATTGTGCTAAATAAACTTTTTCTCCTCTAAAATTGTTTTTGTCAGGTCTTTTGATCACAGCAGTGAAAAACCTGACTCAAACACATGTACACAGGAATATATACACACTCGCATAAACACACACACACACACATACCTGTTCATACAATACATAAACACATTCATACACCAACATACTACACACTCACATATATTTAAATGTAAACACATATACACATAAGTAACCATATGTTTTCTAAATATAAAAAGTATATACCTAGAAAGAAAGCTCACACACATATATGATTGGGTGCTAACAAGGTGGAGACAGTTGAGTAGAATATGGTTTTCTTTTTTGGTAGGCCTGAGGATCAAACCAGGGCCTCAACCATGCTGGGCAAGTGCACTACCACTGAGGGAAATCTCCAGCCCCTATAATATGTTTTTAAGTTAAGAAAGGGAGGAGAAAGACATTCAGTGGCAATAATCCTGTGAGATAGCAATTAGAAAAGCTCAGTGAGGCTAAGGAGATAATCTTAGTGGAGTTGTCAAATACTAGGGAGTTAGGTTTACCAAGATCTGGATTCAAGTTCATATCTGTCATTACAATCTGTGAACTATAAGCAAATTATCTAACTTTCTGCTTCAGTTTTCCTCTCTTTTACAAAGGGATTAGCATAGTAACTGCCTCATAGGGTTGCTATGTATAAACCACTTAGCACAGTGCCTGGCATGTACATTGGCTACATACTAAATTCTAAGTTAAAAAAAATTTTTATAGTTGTAGGTGGACAGAAGGCCTTTTTAAAAAATTTGTATATGGTGCTAAGGATAGAACCCAGTGCCTTGCACATGCTAGGCAAGTGCTTTGTCACTGAGCCATAGCCCCAGCCCCCTAAATCCTAATTTTAAGTGATATTCATTCTTTTTGTTATAAGAGAAAGTTAATTAACAGGTAAACTGTGAGGATAGTACTTACCTCACCAACCTGTTTAGCGAGAATGTCTTATATTTTTAAGGTAAATGGAGTTAAAAATTGTGTATTAAATGAATACATGGCCCCTTCTTAAACTTTACTTTTAAAGTTCTAAAAATTTAGGAAAGCCAAAGTATGATTTATGAATAATACAAACATTTAGATATCATGGCCATTACCAGGAAAATCTGAATCTGTTTAAATGACATCTCATTCGGCTTTATTAAATAATTTCTGTGGCTGCAACTTCATGATGAAAATGTGTAAGTTATTATTTAACTCCACAATACAGGTAAAAAAGAAAGTAATACTAACTTAAAAGGTTTTAGGGGGGCATAATTTACATTTCACCAAAGTATATGAGACTTGATTATCTCATTAATAGGATGTCAACATCATTTAATATTCTTCATTGATATGAGGAGACAGTTCAGAAAATAAGAATTAAAGATGGCCAATATACATATGAAAAGGTGTTATTACATTACTAATAATCTGAGAATTCTAAATTAAAATGAGAGGCTATTTGGATGCCATCAGCTGGACAAATATTAAAAAGGTGGTACTATTGAGGGTGTGGTGTACTTGGCACTGTATGAGAATACAGTGTTGATAGGCGTATAAATTGGTACAATTAATCCTTTTAGAGGACAATCTGGCAATACAGGTAAAAAACAATCTAATATAGTCTTGGCTTGACATTTCCACTTCTTGAATTGTACCTTAAGAAAACACAGACAAATACACAAAGATACTTATATATGCATGCTCATTGTAGTAGTATTTATAATGATAAATTAGAAATCACCTAAATATCTGCCAATGAATAAATACTTACATAAATTATAATGACTAGACACTGAAACTATGTAGCTACTGAAAAGGATAAGACAAACTAATTTGTGGGGGCATAGAAAGATGTCAATGTTCTGTACAGGATGATACCATTTTTGCATTTAAAAAAATATAAAAAGTATATACCTAGAAAGAAAGTAATACTAACTTAAAAGGTCTGGGGGGGTATAATTTACATACAATGAAAGTCATCAATTGTAGTATACAATCCAACAATGTTTTTAGTAAATTTATACAGTTGTGCAACCATCTTCTCAATCCAGTTTTAGAATCTTTTTATTAAATCCCAAAGTCCTCTCATGTTCATAGATTTAAGGTTTTATTTTTATTTTTATTTTTTGGTCATGTTTATTACTTATTTGAAAAAAAAAGCTTTTTAAAGAGGTTTATTTCTTTTTGCATAAAATATGAAAAAAACTATGAGGCTATTTATATTTATTAAAGTTTTCTAAACTTTGCTTTTTTTTGAAGCATGATTAACATTCCAAAAGCTGTTCATATTTAATGTATATGACCTGATGAGTTTGGAGATATGATGAGTTCAGAGATAAGTATAAATCCATGAAACCAGAACTAGGAAACAAAATTCTATGTCACAATGGGGCGTGTGGTGCATACCTGTAATCCCAGCAGTTTAGGAGACTGAGGCAGGAGGATTGTGTGTTCAAAGCAGCTTCACCAATTTAGTGAGGCTCTAAGCAACTCAGTGAGACCCTGTCTCTAAATAAAAATACAAAATAGGGCTGGAAATGTGGCTTAGTGGTTAAGCACCCGTAGGTTCAATCTCTGGGACTGGGGGAAAAAAAAGTCTATCTATGAACATATATCCATCATCAGAGACTTACCTCATAACAGTAATTAAATCAGGAGTGAATTTGAGTGGGAGAAAGGCAGGAGATGATAATTACAGACAGCTTTCTAATTTATAATTCCTGCATTTGAATTATTTTAACAAGGACATAAATATTTTCTTTTAATTTGAGAAAACAGTAAAGTCTTTACTATTTTGAAAAGAACAATAACAAAAAGGAAGGAAGGAAGAAAGGAAGGCCTGACAGAAGGAAGGAAGGAAGAAAAAAGGAAACAGACATATACCTTTGACCCAAATCTGTTGCTGGTGATTTGTACTAGGAAAAAAAAATGTGGGAAAGGATTTGTGTTCAAAGATATTTACCAACATTTTATTTAAAATAGAAAAAATAGTACATAATCTAAATATCTTATGATGGAGAAAAATAATGATTAATTGTACCAGAATCTGAAAAGTGCTGGATGCAAACCTTTATATGAAGTGTAATCTTATTCATGTAAAAAAAAGTTAATGCATAATCAAAAAATAATGTTTTGAAATACAATAAACTTATCAATGGTTATGTTTGGCTGATGAAATTCCACTACTTTTTATTTTCTGCTTTGTGCACTGCCTCATTTTCTCCATAAATGACTAATTAAAAAATAGATTATGGCATTTTTAAAAATATTTTTTAGGTTGTCAATGGACTTTTATTTTATTCATTTACATGCGGTTCTGAGAATCGAACCCAGTGCTTCATAATGCTAGGAAAGTGTTCTACCACTGAGCTACAACCCCAGCCCCAGATTATGGTATTTTCATGAGCATATACCTTTGTCAAAATATATTAAAGTGCATGCTTTAAATATGTACAGTTTATAAGTATATTTTATTGAAGTTATATTTCAATAAAACTGCTTAAAACATAGAAGGATCTTGAGAAACCCAATAATTTGAAGCCTCTTGCTGGAAGAAGGATTTTTGTGTCAACATTTTAGGGCTGGAGGACAAAATGGTTGGGGGTGGAGTATGACATTATGTAAATAGCAGCATTGCCTTGCTTCAGTTAACTTCAGTCTTCATTCATCAGGTTTGCCTTCCTATTCCATGCCAGGAATATTGCCAGGTACTTGATACTATGATGAATGACTGGCCCCCGCCAGTCATCAGGTGGAGGAGGGAAACGGTAGGTCACCATCTGACGGGTTCCAGTCAACGCCCACACAACCCCAGCAGATCAGGAAGCAAGGGCCTTGGTTCAGATGGAGTCACCAAAGGCGGCACCAGGTTTATGGCTGTGGAGGTGGCTGAGAGGTTAGGTCACCTTCAAGGGAGTGTCGCGGTCATCACTTTCGAATTGCGCTAAACAGTTTTTGTCTGTCTTACTTGCACACTGAAACAACAGTGAGAACGAAGCTTTTGCTGGTGCAGGCACCATGGGTTCCCTCGCCGCAACCTGAAGGTAGGGACTATTAGGATCTTCACTTCACAATGAGGAAACAGGCCTGTAGAGGTTACCTGCCCAAGGTTACAGACCCCTGGCTCCAGAGCCAAAGCTCACAACCACCACGTGTCTGCTCCTCTCACTGTATTTTGTGACATAAAGAGTGAAAAAGTCAACTTTTGGGCCCAACCTGGACAGCTTAGCTTTTTCGCTTTACAGCTTCCCCCAGATCCTGAATGGAGGCAACAAACTATAGCACAATCAACCGGGTCATGCCCTCAGGGGCTGCTCCACTAAAGCCGGGACTGACTTGGATTTGAGGCTTGGCCGGGAACCAGGGTCGGGCACTGAAGAGCTTAAGCACCCACCACCAACCAAGTGCGGGGAGCCTGTAAGCCGCTGGGGCTGCGAGCCAGTGGGACCTAACGCGCGTGCGCGGGGCCAGAGGGGACGCCCCCCCCACCACGAGCGCGCGCGGGCGCGGCCGGGAGCGCGCGGGCGCGCTGCGGAGTCGGCGTCGGCGTCCGCGCGCGCTCCAGGACGAGGCTGTGTGGGCTCCAGAGAGAGCGAGGCGGCGGCTGTGCCCCAGAGCTGAGGGGACGCACGGGCCTCGCGTCGCAGGAGCAGACGGCTGTGGAGGAGACTCTGACCCCGGGCGGGAGAGCTCGGCTTGTCGACGGCCCGTCTCGGAGGCGCCGGCCGCTTCCCTGGCCCGGGGTGGCCGCCGCCCCTTGAGACTCGCCGTGACACGGGCCTCAGTCTCGGCGACCGCGGGCGTCCGGGCCGCTCTGACCCGTCGGGCCGGGGCGGTGGGACGAGCGTTCGGGCAGGTGCAGCCCCCGAGGGCCGGCGGGGGTGAGGCGACGACCCGCGCGGCTCGCGGCCGGGCTCTCCGGAGCGGCCGCCTGCCCGCGCCCCCCCACGGCGGGCCGGAGCCGAGTCCCGCCCCGCCTTCTTGGGACCGCCCGGCCCCAGCAGCCAGAGACCCCGCGCCCGCCGCCGCCCGCCGGGCTCGCGCGGGAGAGCTGGGAGGAGAAACTTTGCCTTTTATTGTTGTTTCTAGTCCTTAAGTGCAAGGAACTCTGTTCGGAGGAAAAATGTCCTTCTTCAATTTCCGTAAGATCTTCAAGTTGGGGAGCGAGAAGAAGAAGAAGCAATACGAACATGTGAAGAGGGACCTGAACCCCGAGGAGTTTTGGGAAATTATAGGAGAACTAGGCGACGGAGCCTTTGGGAAAGTGTACAAGGTAAGAGGGAGAAAACGGGAAGTTGCACTTGGGAGATGAAACTGCCACTAGCCCGGAGTGGCGCGAGGACTTCTCCGCTCTCCCAGTCCCTTTCCTGTCTCTTGCCCCGTCCTTTGGCTTTGTAATTTGCGTTGGAACTTTGTTTAGCTTATCATCCAAGCAGTAGCTTAAACAGTTGGTCTGAACACAATGGGGCTTGAATGTAGTTAGAGTGATTGCTGAGGTTGCAGGGTTGTTCAGTCTACTCTGTCAAACTTGAGATTAATGTTCTTTAATTTATGGGAGGGGTCGGGTTGTGGCCCTCAAATATTTTAAAATCGGAAACTCATTACACCTTTCAGTGTATGTTTGTGTAACAACTGCACGTGCATGCGTGCTGTACTAAAACGGTTTCTTTTTTGGAGACCAGGGCATATATTTGATAGTATCCATTGCTAAAACATAACCCGTCTCTTAGGATCAGAACAAAGTGATTGCCACTTGCAGTCAGTTCTTGAGTTAGCTGCTTGGACCACATACTATAAAATGGAATGAAGTTTCTGGTAAAAAATTTCCAGAATAAAATTTGCATCTGGTACTAGTTTTTAAATATAATAAGCATTAACTAGAAGTCGATACCAGCACTTGAGAAGTTAAAAAAAAACAAAAACAAAAAACCACTCTACATATATATGTTTATTTATTTCAGTGGAGGGGTTTGGCATTTCAACCTGAAGGCATTAATGTGAACTGTTTACACTCTCCTAAGGAGCATATGAATGATGTCATAGGAATATTTTCATCCTGAAGGGTGAGGTTTTTATGAGACACAGTTTAGGGGAAGAACCCACCGGGTTGCCTAGAAATGAAAACAGTAAATGACTTATACAGAACTTTGCAGTTTTTAAACTGTTTCACATAATTTGGCCCCCATACAAATCCTGGAAAGTAGGCAGGTCAGTAGTAGTGTCCACATTTCATGGGTGAGTATACTGATAGTAAGAAATTGTTCACAGTCACAGTCATTTGTAGTGTTTTTTTTTTTTTTTTAACTTTATTACCTATAGGTAAAAGTGATAGCCTTTTCCTTATTGCTAAGCACTGTTAGACTTCTGCTTTGCCATGCCTTGAATACATCTTGTTAGAACCTCAGTCTTCACTCTTTACCCAGCCTGAATATCCACTCCTTTCTGTATGCTTTCAAAACATGACTACTATTGCACTTGTCACATAGTTAATATGTTCAGGTTTCTATAATAAAATTAGGGGCCAAAGTTATGCATTTGGGTCCAGCCATTGACTTAGCACATGCATTTCACTTTGTATTTGTTGAAATGAAAGAATATGTAACCTATATGTGAATGCTATTGAAAGCTGGCAAAGTGAACTTCAGTGTTTGTATGGAGGTAGAGTATGGTAATAGCAAGAGCTTAGGGTATAATATGCATGACAGGAAGGAAGGACTTCTAGTGTGGTGGGAAGGTTATTTCTGGTAGTTAAGAGTAATGTTTTGGTGCTGGTGGTCCCAAGCCAGCTTTGTGGTCTTGGACAAAACATTTAACTTCTCTAGACTTCATAATCTTAGCTGTAAAATCAAAGATTTTCCTAAGTGTTTTTTTAAGATCCCTTCTTTTAAGATTCTGTGAGTATGCAGTTAACTAGGAAAGACAGAAATAAACCTTCAAGACATCAGGAATCTTGTAGAGAAGGTGCTAGGTGATCATAGGCAGCTTTCACGGTGTAAAGTTTGTTTTATTGAATATAAACAGTATAGTATTAAGAGCACGGACTCTGAAGGGGAATATTTCTCGACTCCCTTTCTGAGTAGCAGTCTATATGACCTTGGGCAAATTACTTATTCTGTACCTGACTTTCCTCTTCAGTAAGGCCTACTCAGTATGTGAGGATTAGAGGAACACTAGAAAGGGTTCAGTAAATGATACAAATTACTGTTACTACATTTAGAACTCAAAGAATCAAAATACCTGGATAGGACAGAAAAATAGACTAAGAAGACTATAAGCCATTTTCTTGGTTTCCCATGGTACAGGCAGATTGTGTTGTTTCAGGTGTAGTGACTTTCAGCAAAGTTAATGTCTCTTCTTATAGTGAGACATAAGTTGAAAAATTTCTGAAAAATTAGTGACTTAATCCTTGCAGCTAAAACTATAAAACTGTGGCCAGGGTAATTTCTGTGGGCTTGATTATGTTTTAGTACAATACTTCAAATACTTTGCAATTTTTTTTTTTTTTAATTTCACTACTTTGTTTTTGAGGAGCCAGGATATTCTTTTTTTTTTTTTTTTCTTAAAGAAAAATTTTAAATTTAAACTTATCAGACCTTTTTGGCCCTTTTTTCCTAAAAGTTTTTGTTTTTCAAGATTTCTAGAAATTGTAAATTTATATGAGAGAAATTGTAAATTTTCAAGCCTTAATATTTTATGTAGTAGAGTGCAGTAGAAAATTATTTCTAAACCTGATCTAGCTATTATTTGCTTATGGAAATGGTAACTGTTAACAAAAATTAAATTGTAACTTGGAAATCATGTTGTGTGTTTAGTTTATCTGAATGATCTTTCCATCATATAGTTAGTTCAGCTATATCAAGCTTTGTATAACTCTAATAAAGTTATTTCCTGTCCTGAAAAATCTTCACTATTTTAAATATATTTTTTCTCTGGTGTCAGGGATTGAACCCAAAGGTGCTTAACCACTGAGCCACATCCATGACCCTTTTTAATATCTTATTTAGAGAGTTGCTTAGAGCCTCAGTAAGTTGCTGAGGCTGGCTTTGAACTTGTTATCTTCCTGCTTCAGTCTCCTGAGCCGCTGGGATTATAGGTGTGGGCTGTTATACCTGGCTATTTTCTCTTATTAAGATGTTATTGATATAAAATGAAGGTATATAATATTCTTTACAATACTTTCTCTTTGGATTTTTGTTTTATTAAACAGGAAAAAAAGAAATAATAAAATTGTTTACTGAATTACAGTTCTAGAAAGCTGTTTTATATGTGAAACCAATTGAAGCTGACATGTGGTTGTGTGCTGGATGATTCTTTTTGACAAACGATAGGTGTGTGCCTTTAAAAACTAGCGAAACATTTATTTATTTATTTAGTTAGTTACTTACTTACTTAATTTGTACCAGGGATTAAACCTAGAGGTTCTTTACCACTGAGCCACATCCACAGACATTTTTATTTTTTATTTGAGATAGAGCCTCACTAAGTTGTTGAGGCTGGCCTTGAACTTGCCATCCTCCTGCATCAGCCTCTCAAGCTGCTGGGATTACAGGAATGTGCCACTGCACCTGGCTGAAACATTTAATCCTTGTAATGAAAAGTATAGAAACATTTGTACATTTAGCAAATAATTTTGTGATTTTATATTAATGACATTAGGGTCAAGGGATTCTGCTAACACCCCAGATTCCCTCCTGCCTCCTTTCTGAATCTGATCCCTTCTCCCTAAAGGAAACCACTATCCTATCTTTAAGTTATTCGTTTGTTTGCTTTCCTTTATTGCTTACTACCTAGGTGTCTACCCCTAAATATTATAAATTTAGTTTTGTATGCACTTGAACTTTGTAAGAATGGGATCATATTAAGTGTATTTGGTTGTGTCTTGTCTCTTTCAAAATCAGTATTACATTTGTTACATTTATCTTTATTATCACTTAAAGCTATGGTTAGTTCCTTTTCATCGTTGCATAGTATCCCATTATGTGATTATATCATCAATTATTTATCATTATACTGTTATTGGGCATATTAGTTGTTTTCAGTTTTTGGCTATTACACACAATGGTGCATGTAATGCTTGAACTTCACTAAGGCATAATCCAAGAGTGGAATTGTTGGGTTTATAGAGCAGTGTAGCTTTAATTTTACTAGATGATGCCAAACTAATTATACAAGTTTACTTCCCTCTGGTAGTGTATGAGAATGTCCTTGCTTTGCATTCTCACCAATGTTTGGTATTGTCGGAATTTTTAGTTGTGACAATCTGATGATGTGTTTTTATTTACCTTTCTCTGATAACGAATAAGTAATTCTTTTTGTATGTTTATTGGTAACTTGAGATTCTTTTGTGTTCTTCTTTTGTTCATTTTTCTATTGATAACCTTTTTTTTTGTTTATTTTTGTGTATACATACACACACGGATATGTATATTTTGAGTTTTGACCACTTGCTGGTTATTGTTATTGCAAATATATTCTCATTCTGTAACTTGTTCTCATTTTCATTATAGTGTCTTCCTTTTAATAGAATTCTTGATTTTAATGTAGTTCTGTTTATCAATTTTTTTCTTTATAGCCAGTGGTTTTTATGTTACATTTAAGGCATTGTTTCCTAACCCAAGTTCATGAAGATAATTTCCTGGTTCACCTTTAAAAAGCTTTTTATTTAAGCCGGGCTTGGTGGCGCAAGCCTGTAATCCTAGTAGTTGGGAAGGCTGAGGCAGGCGAATGAGAGTTCAAAGCCAGCCTTAGCAAAAGTGAGGCACTAAGCAATTCAGTGAGACCCTGTCTCTAAATAAAACACGAAATACGGCTAGGGGTGTGGCTCAGTGCCCCTGAGTTCAATCCCTGGTACCTCCAGCCCTAAAAAAAGAAAGCTTTTCATTTAATTTGTTCTTTTTAGGTATATATGATAGTATATTTTGATGTGTTATACATACATGGACTATAACTTCCCATTCTTGTTGTTGTACATGATGTGGAGTTACACTGGTCATGTATTCATATATGAACACAGGAAAGTTATGTCTGACATTCTATTGTCTTTTCTATTCCCATTCCCCCTCCTTTCTCTTCATTTCCCTTTGTCTAATCCAGTGAGCTTCTATTCCAGAGAGAGAGAGAGAGAGAGAGAGAGAGAGAGAGAGAGAGGGGAAGAGGAAGAGGGAGGGAGGGGGAGGGGGAGGGAGGGAGGGAGGGGGGGAGAGAGAGAGAGAGAGAGAGAAAACACGAACATTTGGCCTTTGGTTCAAAAAGCTTTTTGATTTTGCCTTTATC